TATATATATATATAATTCTAATTTTGCACTTGTTTCCTGGTTCTTCATTTGTGCTGCAGTAAAGACAAATTCCTCCAGCTGGTCATAAAATAAATGCGGTCGGCCCCTCCACCGCTTAGCTTATGAAATGTACGGTGGAGAAAAAGTTACGGAGTTTTTTACTCTGATATATATAATCACAAACTACAGGATACACCATATGCTGACTGGACAGAACATCTGTACCAGTCATATCTACACAGTTCAGCCTACTAGTAGTAAAGGTAATTTTACTGTTGTCCATTATATTTACCTCTCACAAAGTTATCCTAACATAATAACAATATTAATAAAAATATAATAATTTGTTGGAACAGCAAATTTGTCTTTATATGACAGAAAGGGGCTTCTACTGTAAATATGTTAGCAAAAACCTATAATGAAAAGTCCCCAGACTGCTTATAGATTTATCTCTTGAGCAAATACATATTTTTACATATCACATCGACATTTTTCTCAGTTTTAATTTAAGCCATATTTTATAGAAATCGGATAAGAAACGAGGGTGCTATGAATATTTTTGTGACAGATTGACGCACATCCCGCATTGAAACTCTACCGTTTTGTTGACATGACTCAATGCATAGTAATGGCTCCTGTGACGGTGCACGATAAGTCACGTGATGTCCAATCCAGTAATATAGATCAGTGGTTACATTATTAAAAGTCATGGACATATAAGTGGTTAAAGGAGCACATATGTGGAAGTAGTTTGATGTTTAAAACAGATAAAGAATCACCTGAACAGGTGCAGATGTGATAGAGCCACAGAAAGTCAGAACAGAGGAACAGACTCAGATTGTTGACAGTAAAAACAGCTGGAGGAGACAATCTTCCACTGTTTTCTGTGTTTCTGCTCAGGCGCTGCAGAGAGTGAATGAACATCTACTGGAGAAAGATCCTACTGAGTCTCTGCTGTTTGATGTGGTCTTGATGACAACCGACAGGCAGCAGCAGCAGCAGAGCTCTGGTTTCATGAGCAGCACCAGACATCATGGTAACCGGACCTCAGAAGCTCATATCAGTCTGGATTTACTCTGTCAGAGTGGAGTCGGACCTTTTCATGTTGGCCTGTTGTTGTTGTTCTGTTGTAGGTCTTGAAGTTAGCAGGTTTTGTTTTTCAAGTGAAGAGGACTTCGTGGAAAGTCTCCTGAAAAACAACATTCATGTGTTTGTGACGACGGATGAAAACGAAGCGTTCCAGGCCAATCAAAAAGGTCTGAACATTTCCTCTTCTCTTCATGTTTCTGTCATGTTTCCAACTCTGTCACAGGGGTGGAGCCAGGGGGTGGCCATGGTCACCACAGACAAATCTTTGGCCACCCCATTGACCACCCTGCTGTACACACCCCTTCCACAGAAACAACATTTAGGTGTGTAATAATCCTCCTGAACAGTTAGTGGCAGTGTTTAACAGTTTGAAACATCACTAAGCTGTATCACTGAAGAAGAATAATGACAAAGAAGTGATGGTTTTCTTTATATACAGAACATATGCCTATGTAATCTGACTTAGGTGTCAACTTTTGGACTTATGGTGACAAATATATATATATTTTTTTCTTCACCATAACACAGTGTCATTTTATGTTTTGAAGGCTGCATGATGTTCTGTGTTTAAATCAGAAAAAGTAAAACACCTCTTTAAAGTCACTGTTTGTTGTTTTTCATCAATATTGCACCTGTTTATTGGGTAGAATTAATAGTTTTAAACATGCAGTTGAGGGTCTTCATTTTTTGGCACAGTTACATGTGTTACAATTGAAAATAAATCAGTGAACAATATAAAAAATAAAAAGCACCCCTAAAGTAATTGGATATGACAGATTGTGTCACATTAATTAACCTTATCTCAGCTGTAGCAGTGAATTTAAAACATGATAATGAAACTAGTTTAATGAGTAATCTGTCTCTGAAATAATTATTAAATCAAGTATTAATTTATGTAGGGAAAGTATGTTTAACAACCTGGTAAAATAAACTAGAACATCTACTTCATTCAAAATTTTGTGGGGAAGGACTCCCAGACTCCCCAACAGTGCCCCCC